CCAGGTTGTGGCAGTTTTCATTATAATGCTCTTCTTTGTCTTGAGATGCCCTTTGACATTTCCTGTTCAGCTCTTTTACTTCATCCTTAGCAGCGAAAGCTGTCAGATTATAATTCAGTTCCAATCTACCAGCCCCTCAGTGGGAGACAGAGGTGGCAGTCTGCTTTCTTAAAGATCACAGACTTCGATACCCTGTGTGGGCAGTTGTCCTCCATCCTATAGGTTACTGTGAGTTGGCATCAATTGGACAGCAGTGATTCTATAAAAACATCAGAATTGTTCATAATGTGTTTTTCGAGACCCAAGTAGACCTGTTAGAGTGCAGTACAAGTCCGTCTGTTCTTAGTCTTACAGAGGCCACTCACTGCCCGTTACTCAGGACAGCACCTTTTCTTCCCAACTGTGATGTGTTTCTCATTCCTTTGTAATTCAGTTCAATTTTCTTGTCACAGTCTGTATCCCTTTTGGGAATCATCTGACTTCCCTATCAATTGGGAAGAAGAGTTAAACTCTTATAATTCTCTCTTTTCAAATGGTGAAAAGCTGATAACGCAAACTTCATCTAATCCACAGGTGATCAAATGCATTAAGGCTGGTCCTTCCCAGGAACTTCAGGGTTCTCATTGATAAAGCAGGGGAGCGAGTCTAAAAGAGGAGTGGGAACCCCAGTCCCTCCAGGATCCAGGCAGATAGGCCTGTGACGACAACAGAGTGCGAGTGGGCGTGGTGATGGAGTGGGGGCGCATGTACCATGGCCTGCCCGGAGAACACGCAAGTGTCTTGAGAGAAGTACAGTCAGAATGCTCCTGAAGGAAGGATGATGGGACAGTTTCACGTGCTCGGGACGTGTTGTCAGGAGAGACAAGTCCCTGGAGAAGGACATCGTGTTCAGTGAAGTAAAAGGGAGGGGGGAAAGAGGAAGACCGTCACCAAGATAGATTGACACAGCGGCTGGATGGATGGGCTCAAACATACAAAAAACACACAAAAAACCAAAAAGCGCAAGGATGGCACAGGGCCAGGCAGTGTTTTGTTCTGTTGTATTTAAGGTCTTATTAATCAGAACCAACTTTAGGGCAACTGGCAACAGCAACCTCATCTGGGAAAAAGTGTTTTCACCATTTTTTTAAGCTTGTAGAGTCGACTATAATCTTGGAGCTTTTCGTTAGTAGCTTTGCAGTAACATGGGAAAAACCAAAAAGAATAAAACTGATGCAGGTAAAATCATAGCTGGTAAGCGAACAGAGAGAGAGCCATTCTTGCAGATCCATTCATAATGGAAACTAGATCATTGGATTTTTCGTTTGTTTGCTTGATAAATGATTACTTCTATTTTTCTTAAGGAAATTCTTGCAATTCAATGTCCTTAATCCTCAGCGAGATGGAGGGACACAATGGCTGCAACCAGGGGTGCAAGCATATGAACCGTTGCGAGGACGGCGCAGGACCGGGCAAGGTTTCATTTCTCGTTCTGTTGTGCAGACGTTGATAAGGGTTGATAACAACAATACAACACTACATTCTAAGAACTCCCAACCAAACTCACTGCCATCTAATTTTTACCAATTTACAGTAATCTTATGTGGCAAGGTAGAACTGCCCCTGTGGGTTTCTAAGACTAAAGATTAACAGGAGGAGAAAGTTCCGTATTTTCCCCAAGGAGCAACTGTTGATTTTGAACTGCTGACCTTGCAGTTGGTCCCAAGTGTAACCATTGCATGCAGTTGGCCCCTAGTGTAACCATTGCATACCACCAGGGCAAGCCTGTATTCACGAACCAAATATTCAACCATGACTGTTTCCATCGACAGCTCTTCATTGATTCTTAAAATCGTGGATATTTCAATAATAATATTTCATTTTTGTTTGTCAACTTCTTTTCTGGTTGATAGGTGTCACTGAGTCGTTTTCAACCCCAGCAACACCATGCACAGCAGAATGAAACCCTGCCTGGCCTGAGCCGTCCTATACTTGAGCTCATGGTGGTAGCTACTGCGTCAACCCATCTCATCAAGAGCCTTCCTCTTTTGATGCCTCTCTACAAAGCATGATGTCCTTTTTGAGGGATTGGTCTCTGCTGACATGTTCAAAGCATGTAAGACAGAGTGTCACCATCCTGGCCTCCAAGGAGCGCTCTGGCCATATTTCTACCAAGATACTATTTTCTTACACAGTTGGCCAGTACATGATACTTTCAATATTCTTTGCCAACTCGTTTAGTGAAATATTCTAGAAGCGTGATTGTAAGTCAATATTATCATACAAGTGTTTGTCTTTAATTACAATTTTACAGGACGTGGTCATATTTTTCTTGGCCACAACCACAAACCACACATGACTAAAGTTGTTTAATGATGTGGTGTGAGCAAAGAAATAGGAATTCATATTTTTTTTGTGTGAGGGAAGATTTGGGAAGGAGGCAGACTGCATTCATTAGAAATTTTATAAATTTATAGAAAACAATATTGGTTTAAACAAGGTAATTTTAAAAATTTTCTTTTTTTTACCCCTCTCCTGAAATAGGCAGTAAATGTCTGGCATGATTAACATTTTCTTAGGTTCAATCTCTTTCTATTTTTCTGCTTTGACATCTTTAGTATGTTACTACTAGTCTTTTTCCATGAAGAGAGAATAAGAGATCCATGATGGCTCCAGGGAAGAAGGAGGAAATAAAGAAAATCAAAAACAGAAAAAAGGCTTATCAGTTCTTCTTTTCCTAAGATTTTCTGAAAATGTTTTCCAGTAAGTTCACTTTTATCTCTCAGTGATGAGATTTAATCACTGAGACACAGCAAGACTGGTGAGGAAATATTGTCTTTTGGACTAGAACATCCATGGGGGCAATAAATCCAGCATTGTGCTATTTACAAAGAAAGATGGAACAGAAAGCAGCCATATCTGCCAAAAAGTCATATTACGTAATTTGAAGTGAAATCAAAGATTAATAAAACAAATTTTGAAAAGGCTATAAAAGGCTACAAAATGTGGATGGTCCTATCTGATACTTTCCCTCATGAAGAGCTCACTGAATATATGTGTGCGATGACGAAGTGTGGTAAGAAACTAGATGGTGCCCAGTAGAACAAAGAATAGTGTCTGAGGCCTTAAAGTCTTATCTTCAAACAATCAGTCATCCCAGTGAGACATCAACTAAGTCCACATGGAAGAAGCACATACGCCTGTGTGATCCAAGGATTGTAAATAATAAAACCAAATCTGAAGGAGCGGATGGTATCAGAGCTTAAATTATGGACTACCAGTTGGCAGGAGGCTAGTGAAGACAGTGGAAGCCTAAAATTCATTTTCAAGGTACACACAGGGATTAAGCCTCTGGTGAAGTTCTTCTACCCATAGTCAAAGGATCATTGCCATCCTTGCCTCTCAGGAGCATTCTGGCTGTACTTCTTCCAAGACAGAGCTGTTTGATTTTTGGCAGTCCAGGATACTTTCATGATTCTTAGCCAGCACCATGGTTCAAATGAATCAATTCTTCTTTGAGCCTCCTTATTTAATGTCCAGCATCCACTTACATATGAAGCAATTGAGAAAGCCATGGCTCGAGTCAGGTGCATTTTAGTCCTCAAAGTAACATCTTTGTTTTCGAAAACTTTAAAGAAGTCTTGTGCAGCTGATTTATCAAATGCATAGGAACAATGGCGAGAGTGGACAGGACCGGGAAGTGGCTCCCTCTGTTGTGCACAGGTTGATATGGATCAGAATCCACTTGATGGCACCTCACAACAACAGGTTTGAAACGAACCCTCTGGAGGCAGGAAGAGGGACTTTATGACCACAGTGAAAGGAGAGCCAGGAGTGGACTATGTCCTTTGGACTTTGGATCCTTGTGCTAAGAACTTCCTAGACTGAGGACTGAGAGAAAGGGGGCAGCGGGGAGGGAGGGAGAGAGAAAGAGCTAAAGAAGAGTAACATCAGGGACAGCCGGAGCCAAAGAGGAACAACTTCTGAGAAATGACAGCATCGGTGGCACAGAACCTGGAGACTAGTGGGCTTTATGCCACTTGAGAGCTGAGTACCTTTAGGCAGGGGGTTTGCTGGAGGAATGGTTTCCCTCTGGGCACTTAATGATGGAGACAAAGGGCTCTGTAACACTGGCCTAAGCAGAGCAGCGGTCGAGAGGTGTGAGGGACCAAGAAGCTGAGACCCGTTAGGGCCAGTGCATCTAGGTGATTGGAGGGCATTTTAGTTTGTACAAGCAATGGGCTCTGTTTGGGGGAAAATAACACCTGCTAAATGAATTCTGAGAAATCAGAGTTCCTCTCTCAAGTATTCCCTTATGACATCTATGTCCACATTGAAATACATGTTCCAAGCCCTGTCCTCCCTCCTCTGAGAAGCTGACAGTGGACAGTGGGCTTTCATAGCAGAAATATAGACACTCAGCTAAATGCTTCTTTTTTGGTGGCAGTCACCTCTGGGCCGGAGGTTGATGGTCAGGCCTTTTTTCTGACGTTAGTATGGAAGCTCTGACAAACGCGGTGGCTTGTCTGAGGCACATTGGGCTAGAAATCAAACCTCAGCCACGCCGAACTTCAAAGAAGGCAGGAAAATGCATCCACCTGAGTTTACATAGAATTGGAATAACTGTAAATAGCCCCAATAATTACCAAAAATGTTCAAGATTTGAATTTACTGTATCTTATGAACTTATATATGTATTATGTCAAATACTGTATATAATCAAGTATAAGCTGACTCGAATATCAGCCGAGGCACCCAATTTTACCACAAAAACTGCATTAAAAATGTGCCGAAAAACTTGGCTTATACACGAGTATATACGGTATTTATAATCATCTTTTAGGTTTAGAAACCATTGGTCTGCCAAATTGGTCTCCATCGGAGCTTTACAGATGAATTTTGAGTTCTCTGCCTGGCTGCTCTATAAAGCATACTAAGTATTGTGTATAGAATTTCACGTAATAAATGTCCAACAAACCAGTGTTAATAGTGACTCACCTACCTCCCATGAGAAAACCGAATGCAAAGTAAGTGTATTTTTTATTTATATTAACAACAAAATAATTTCATAATTTCATATCCCATTGCTTTAAAGAGACATATATTACAAATAAAGGAACCCCATTAGCTTTAAAGATTAGTATTTATCAACACTTTTGTACACATACACAAATAACATTAATATCATTTTGTCTGACATTTTGATCATATCATTTTAGTACTTTCAGGAGTATTAACTAAACAGGTTCTTTTCCATTTGGTAAAAATCATGTATTTTACATTATCTATTTACATGTTACAAAAACATTCACTTTGACCTTCAAAATACTGTACTAGGACTTGGCATTGAATATATAATTGACAGCAAACACCGAAAATGTGCAAATCTGGAGGATGGAAAAATTCCCAAGCTAGCAAGGTTAGAAAAAACTGTGTGTGTATGTGTGTGTGTGAACAAAATTTAAAAATCCCAACTCACAACAATCTAGCTGACCCTGACTCACAGAAACCCCGGAGAGCAGGGTCAGATGGCCCTCGTGGGATCTCGAGGCTGGAACCATCTCACTGAATCAGAAAGCCTCATCTTTCTCTCTCAGAGCAGCTGGTGGTTTCAAACCGCTGACCTTTCATTTAGCAGCTCAATGTATAACCTTTATGCCACCAGAGCTCCTAGGTATGTGAATAAGGAGACCTCAACAAGTTCTTGGAGACATTTTATCATTTTTCCATTCCATTTCCCCACAAATATGTTGAAGTCCCTTTATGTACACATGTATTTAAAAAAAAAGTTACAACTCATTGCCATCATTTGATTCTGGCTGACAGCTACCCTTCAGAACAGAGAACTGCCTCTGTGGGTTTCAGAGAATGTCACTCTAAAGGAGGCAGAAAGCCTCCTCTTTCTCCCTCCACGTAGCTGGGGTTTGAAACTGCTCCCCTGGGGGTTAGCAGCCCACCTGAGAACCCACGACACCACCCGGATGAAGCCACTCCCATACGAGGATGCTTCAAGAAGTTCATGGGAAATGCTATTACCTTTTCATTCTATTTTGCTACAATCTTCAAGCCCCCTGATGTGTATGTATATATGTGTGTACACACATTATGTGTACTATATATATAAACATCATAAAAACTTCAAATAAATTAATTCTGTCTCTCTCTTCCCCGAGAGTAGCTGCAAACGTCGAGAGTTCTCTTAGAGGTGCGTGGACTGCTGCACCCTCAAACCTCAGCCCCAGAGGAGCCCGGCCCAGAGGGCAGGGTGGCAGTCGCCTTGCTAATGACTCGAGTGCAGGGTCGCTCCACTGCGCGTCTTGATGGGTCTTCCCTGTAGGTAATCTTCACCCAGGACAAGAGGAAAGGAAACAGAGCACATGGAAGTTAGTATGCATATTCCCAAACTTGAACTTCACCCCCGAGGCCACCCTAACCAATGAACCCAACAACAAACAAAACACTGCACTGTCACCTCGTCTCTTTCACCTCATGGTGACCCTGTCGGACCAAGTAGAGCTGCCCTGTGGGTTTCTGAGGCCGCGCATCTTGACGGGAGTGTGAAGCCTCATCTTTTCCCCCATGGCGGGTCCCAACTGCGGCCCTGGGGTCAACACCCAACCTTGCCCTCCTTGGACTGCTCCACCCAGACGCATGGTTTCTATTCCCATGGGAAATGTGCGCATGTCAGGAGTGCCCTCGATCCAGGTGGGTTCCTGGCTATCTTTGAAGTCACTTCACAAAACTCTTTCACTTTCAGAGAGTCCATGGCAAATGTGGAACAGAACCTATCTTGAGTCACGGCTCTAATCGCTTTTGTTCTCTTCGTATCATTTCTACTGGATATTGCCAAATCTACCAGAACAATAAAATGGTGATTTATCAAAAAGGGAGATTCAAAGAAATTTAATTTTTAAAAAAATCTAGAAATATCAGTTTTAAAATTGCCTTTAAGTTTGGAAATAAAATGAATATGCTTAATGACTTTCCTGTTCTCCATGTATCAAAAACAACAACAACAACAACAACAACAACAACAACACAGGCATCTCTAAATTGTGCTGCTGGACAGAAGTTTTTAAAAAAATGTTTTTGTTTCTTATAAATCACTTTATCTTACAGCTCTTATCACAATCCATACATCCATTGTATCAGGCACATTTGTACTTATGTTGCCATCATCATTTCCCAAACATCTTCTTTCTACTTGAGCCCTCCAGAAGAAGTTTAATAAATATTTTCCCTTGCCTCTGGAGGGAGATAGGCCTATGAACCTCACACACACGTTACCACACTGGCAGTGGCCTGTACTTCACACCTCGTCTAAGGTAGAATTGATAATTATTTCCTTTGGTAGATTCCTCAGTATGTTGGGCTGCAAACAGCAAGGCCAGCAGTTCAAACCCTGCCAGCAGCTGGTGGGAGAAAGAGGAGGCTTTCTCATCTAATACAGATTTACAGTCTGAGAGACCCACCGAGTAGATTCTACTCTGTGTCTGCTGAGTGCGTACACGTTTATTTCTGTTTTCACTTTCCAAGGCACTTTATAAAAGCTGGCAGCTCAGAAGGAAAGTTTGGTGGTCTCAATCCATTCAGGAAAGCCCCGGCGATCTGCTCCGTCCGGTCAAGGTCGAAGCCTACAAAGACCCGCGAACAGTTCTTCGTCACCTGGAGCCGCCGTGTGTCAAAACGGGCTCGACATCCTTTGGGGGTTGTCTTATTCGTGTTCCCTGCAGTTTTCCTTGTCCTTCCTCCTCCCTACACCTCCCTGCTTTCTGAACTTTGTCCTTGAGCAAACGCTGCTCTCTGCATCTCCAATGTGTGCAATCTCAGGTGTGCGTACCTCGGGGGGGTTATGGTTCCCCTCACAGATCTGACCCCTCTGTGGGCGAACATTGAGTCAGAAGGGTGAGTTCAGTTCCAGGTCTAAAGGGTGACTCAAGGTTAGGAGCTCTAGACCAGCCTCTATCTGACCAGTGATCCTAGTCTTTTTGAATGATTTGCAATTTTGTTCTGCATTTTCTCCCACTCAATTGAGGAAACTTCATGTGACTCTTGCAGAGGTATCGGCGGTGGTTCCTGGGTACTATCCAGCCCAGGGGTCCTCAAACTTTTTAAACAGGGGCCAGTTCACTGTCCCTCAGACCCGTTGGAGAACCGGACTATAGTTTTAAAAAAACTATGAACAAATTCCTATGCACACTGCACATATCTTATTTTGAAGTGAAAAGCAAAACGGGGCAAAAACACCTGGTGGGCCGGATAAATGTCCTCGGCGGGCCGCATGTGGCCTATGGGCCGTAGTTTGAGGACGCCTGATCTAGATCTTCTCGTCTCAGGGTCATGGATGCTGAGGGTTGCAGGGTCCACTGGGCTAATTGTTTTCATAAAGCTTCACGTTTCTTCTACCTTTTTTGGGTTTTGGCTGGGGCGAGTCCTATTAGTACAGCTTCCATGGCTACACATAAGCCTTTAAGGTCTCAGTCACTACTCACCCAAGCAGGACAGAGAACACTGTGATCTCTGTTAGGCTGATGGCCCTTGGTGTCCCTTGAAACGAGGGTCTTGAGACCCTCGGCTCTGCAATTCCCACGCTCAAGGTGTTTGGTTAGGGGTAACTGGTTTTCATAACCTGCCCTCTGTATGCTCTACCATGTCCATGTGTCTACGTGCAGGAGAGGTTCATACATCTGTAGAAATAGTCTTTATCAAACCCACACATCCCCAGGTGGGTGGCCCCATTCTCCTCCCCCCACCTTTGGCATCTGTCCACGTATCCCATAATAGATTATTGCCATTGGAGGACTGTGCAGATAGTCGTGTTTACCTTCGTTGCCTTTAACTTTAGTATGCTCCCAGTTTCTACCTTTGCTTCATCTTTTTTTGTTGCTGACTTATATTTCGCCTCCTCCTTCACACATTAATATGTACACACTCTCTATGTAATCATTCCCCTGTCATTGCCCCTTCCACCTGTGGTAACCATCAAAGGATGATTCTTCTTGTGTTAAAATTTTCTCTTCACTTCTTATCATGGCGCTCCCATAGACGAGTTGTCCTTTTGTGAATGATTTGTTTCACTCAGCCTGATAGGTTCAGCCAGGTGGTTCATAGATACACCCTTATTCTTCCCCATTGCACAGAAATCCATTGTGTGAATGTACCAGTGTGTTTGTCTACACTTCTGTGGGTGGTATGATCGTTTTGCAGTTGTGAACAGCGCTACTACCATCACCATGACTATGCACATGTCTGTTCATGTCTCAGCTCTTATTTCTCTAGGATGACATACCTAGTCGTGGGACTGCTGGATTAGAGGATATTTATTGGTCTGTTTTTAAAAATTAATTTCATATCTTTTAAATTTTATTTACCTAGCAAAGGTTCTCAGGAAAAGAAATGATTTTCCCATTACCTTTAATCACCTAGTATTTTTCTTTGACTTCTGTTTTACCACTTTGGGCTATAGTCTGTCTTTGCTTGGGGTACAAATGAACTCAAGTGTAGTTTAGAAATCAGTGAAACATGCATTTTTTTGTTATATTCTCTTGTTAATTTTAGCTGTAACCAGTAGGTTCTTTTATTTGATGTCAGCTAACTCGGAAATGGACATACAGTTGCTCTGATTAAAAAAAAACTTAGAGAACACTAACCACTATGGACTTATCTGGGGAAAACTGAACAGCTAAGACAAGACAGATAAAACAGAAGGCCATAAAAGACAGTGTAGTTTTAAGAAAGAAAAACATACCACTTTTGCTTACAGTACTGAGGGAAATACTAGACACAGAGGAACAGAAGCTGTATAAACATGGACCACAACAGAGCTGTCAGGAAAAAAAGAGAAAAACATTTTTGCACAAAGTTTCAAGATCAGATTTAATTTACAGTGGGAGGGAAGGATTCCCTCATCCAAATGCAATGTTCATTCTTTTGATTACACTGCTAGCTTTATCATTCCCATTGTAGTATATCAAGGTGTCTTTCTGGAGTATTAAATTCCTAATTACTTCATTAGATAGCCCAAACTATTAGCATCTTGACTAGGAAGAATTTTTAGCTGGGAAGAGAAATTCTCTGGGATATAAGCAAACAGACATTTTTCTACTGTGGAGCTAACATAATGGGAGAGCAAAGGAAAGGAAAGAAAAGAGGAAGTCCTCCAATGACACGGAAGCTTCAACAACAAGCTCAAACGAAGAAACTGCTGGGAGGACGACTCAGGACTGGACACGGTTTTGTGCTTAGTTTACATCAAGCAGCTGTGTGTTGGAACTGACTAGACAACACCCAACAGCAGCGTGGATTCTTAAAAATGGAGGTTAGAAGAACAGGGAAGGCACAGGATACATATTTGGGGAAACGCAATTAGGATGAAGGATCTCTAGACCGCATTTCATGGGTTGTGTTAATAGATCACCACGCAAGGAAGGGAGGGAGTGAACACCATGAGTAGGGCGCCTGGAGGCAGAGTCCAGTTCTGTACAGAGCACATGTCGCTCCCAGGAAGGGCCACAGTGCTGACAGCTACAGGTCAAGTGAGTGCACTGATGGATCCTGGATAGTAGTTGAATGAAGCAACACTTGCCTTGTGACTACTTGATCTTCAGCATGCTTGCTCCACTCTCATACATGCCCCCCCCTCCCCCAAGTACTGTGATTATGGGAGGCCCATATATTTTTTCCATGGCCCTATAAAAAATGCTAAACATATGCCAGAAATCCTGGCCAATTTGCTTGTGAGATGAGTGGGGCCTTATTCTAACTTGATCAACCTTCAGGAGGCACAGTCTCTGTAGAGAATCTTAATGGGCAGAGCCCACCTTGGCTCTCTCGCTGAGCATGCAGAGTCCCAGGGCCAGAGCTGGGGAGCGCACAATGGCAGGGACTCGTGTCCCCTTTCAAGGAGAAGTGGCAGGGGAGGAAGATTTGTGAAGTCCTGGAGCAGTGATGGCAGGAGTGGGAACACACCCTTTTGGGAATGTCACTCGGTGTCCCTTAGTGACAAAGAGGACCCATCAGTTCTGGAAACCAACAAGCTCATATATATATATATATTAGGAATACACACCCCTGCAAACTGCAGAAAGCATTTGAAGTCTCTCCTTTAATCCAGTCATATATATATATATATTAGGAATACACACCCCTGCAAACTGCAGAAAGCATTTAAAGTCTCTCCTTTAATCCAGTCCTTCCCCTCCCCCACCTGGTCTTTCATTGAGGCCAGGTGAGCTGGGCCTAGGTGGAAAGGACCATGCTGCAACATTTAAGGTGCAGTGGTTTCAGCTGCAGCAAGCACACAGCATTCTGGTCCTTTCTTATGCTAGGAATAAAATGGGTGCGTTCCATGCATCCATTGCTCCAACCACACCACAGAACCTCACCTGCTCATTCATGACAGTGGAGAGTTCGCTGAGCATGTCCTTGTAGTGGGCCCTCAGCTCTTCCTGGTACTCCAGCTGGTCCTCCTTGATTAGACGCTCGTTCACATCAAGGGCCTGCCCGCAGGCATCTGCAAATTGTCTTTGGGGACAGCAGTAAGCAAATAAAAAATAAGCCAGAGACAGCGCCAACCCAAAGTATGGTTGCTGTTCGATTCCGCCGCCAAGAAGAGGGTTGGTTAAGGAGCTTCCTGAGAGATTTATGACTTCTTGTCTAAAGGGTCTTAAGGAATCACATTCCAATAACAACAACGACAAGCTTACCTGAAGATTTCCTTTAGAAGCTTTACTTGGTTGTCCGGGTATTTCTTTGCATTGGTTTCTTCAAGAAAAGCTCTTGCGTAGGCCATGGGTCCGGCATTAACCTATGGGGGAAGAGTATTGGCAGAAGGTGAACCTATCTCCTCCATGGAGCTAGTCCACCCTCCACAGCTGGAAGCAGCAGCAATTGTTTGCATCAATCATGGGACACCTGCTCCTCGTACACTGCCTTGTCCCCTACCGCCCTGTCTGCCTCTCTTGTCTGCTGTTCTCCAACACGTCAATCAGCTACTAACCTCATTGTCTTCAAGTTGATTGTCACTCTTATCCACCCTAACGGACAGCCCCGTGGGATTTTCAAGACTGCAAAGCAGAGTGCCCCATCTCTCACCTGTGGCATGGGGAATAGTGTTTTTTACACTGCTGACATCTCAGTTAGCAGCAACTGCTTAATCACTGAGTCGCCAGGGGTCCGTCAATCAGCTATTGCATCCCATTGCCATCGGGTCACTTCGGATTGGGACAGACTAGAACTGCTCCACGGGGTTTTTGAAAAAGTGAATCTTTACAGAAGAATGATGGCTGCCTCCTCATTCTTCTGTGCAGGGACTGGTGGGTTTAAACCACCGATCTTTCAGTTAGCAGCCCAACACTTAGCCACTGAGCTGTCTCTGAGTCAGAGGAGAGCTGTACTCCACTGGGTTTCCATAGTTGATTTCTCAGAAGTAACCCCCCACGTCCTTCTCCCAGGTGCTTCAGAGTAGACTGCAACCTCCCACCTTTGGGTCACAGCTGAACCCATGCATGATTCACACCACCCATGGGGTGGTGTATGGGAGCTTACACGCCCTGTCATCCTTGCCAAATTTCAGTCACTTGCTCATTATATCTTTTTGTCACATCTGCTTACTGATTGAACTGCCGCTTGCAGAATCTCATTGACAAAGGTTCCGTTTTACTCACCTTCATACATTTATTTAAACGAATATCCGTGAAATCAAATGTATGATATGCTATTGTTTTCTGTTAGGACTAAAATGAATGCATGGGTATTAATTGAAGACATTTGATATTGGTAGTGGTATGGGATATATGCCAAGTGTTCCACTTCGCATTCTGGCTTACTGGAATTCATACCCATGGATGCACTTGTAAGATTTGCCAAATGAATGTGCAATGCTAAACCAAATCAAACCAAACCCACTGCCACCGGGTTGATCCTATCTCATAATGACCTTGTAGGACAGAGTAGAATGGCTTCATATGGTTTCTGAGATTGTAAATCTTTGGCACAACTGGTGGGTACAAACGGCTAGCAGCCCCCCTTTAACCCACTGTGCCACTCGGATGCCTTGCATAATGTCAGGTCCTATTTACCATATATACTCGTGTATAAGCCAAGTTTTTCAACACATTTTTAATGCAGTTGTTGTGGTAAAATTAGTTGCCTTGGCTGATATTCGGGTAAGTTTATACTCGAGTATATATGGTATTTTCGCACATTTAGGAGGATCATACTAGTGGGGCAGTCTATGTCATTTACTGTATGGGACCTTTCATTTTGGCTTTGGGCCTTGGAATAAATAAGGGGCATGAAGGAGGAAACAAAGCTCATTTGACAGTCTGCAGGGGCCCAGGGCTCAGTGGGTTGCCTATGCTGTAGACTGAGGTGGCCGTTCTGGGCATGTTGCTTTGTGCTACCGGAGCACCTCCTGTTCTCCCCGACTCTGAGCTGTGCTCAGGATGGCTGTCCTTATGGACTCTGACCACAGCTTCCTGGTCTGGTGGCTCTTTATTGGGATCAACCAATGGGGGACGCAGACAAGAAGGGGTGGAGCAGAGGAGAAGGATGACACAATCACAATGACAAATGTTTCCTTTTGCCCCATGCACTGATACAGCTTGGCAGGGCACTGTGACGGACCCTGGCTTTGTGGAAAATATTAGTACTTTGCTCATCGTAGACATTTTGCATTAATTAAAAACATTATGTTAATATAGCAAACTATTATGACTCTCCATCAGTGAATGAAGGTGTGTATATGAAAGCCTAGACCAGACCCTGGCCAGAGCTTCTGTCTTGCCATCCTCCAGTCAGGACCACACCTGCCTGCCATTTGGGTAGCTGTCAGCCTGGCCCCCACGCCTCTGGTATCCATGAACCCTAGCCTCTCCTTGGAGCTTCCGGTCCAGCAGTGGCAAATGCTCTACGAAGAATCTAGCCCCTATACCAGCCCTGTGGGCTTTCCTAAAGGTGAATCATCCTCTTGCAAAGAGCTTATTAAGTATATTCACAGTCACCTTCTGGGAGGGACAGCTAGTCCCTTTGGGACCACTTATGAACTAGTAAACCTTTTTAACATTTGCTTTTTGAACACGTTTATGAAAATTTAGCCAAAGATGAGGTAGGAGGATTAAGGAAAAGGGAATTGTATTCAGACCTTTGGGGCCCAGTGACTTATGCTTGGCACCAGAGGTTCTGTGGGAAAAAGGCCACAATTCCCTCCCTGCATCTCCGTTCATGACCTGTGAGTGGTTCTTGACACCCAGTGTGTGCTCTGACTAAAAGACGACCATCAAGAAACCTCCTCTGACCAGCTCTGCTCCACATGGGGTCAGGAGTCAAGGCCACAGTCATAGGAAAACCACCCAGGTAACCAAGGCATGTGCAGAAAGGTGTTTGCTACCCTCAAGTATTGGTAATGAAATTGCTTCTTAAAACCCAAATTACAGAGTTGGTGGTATCGCAAACAGGAAAAAAAATCAAGAAAAATGTTTCTTATCTCCTTTAGGAAAACACTTAAGAAACCCCAAGGTCTTTTCTACCAAGTCTCCCTTAGCTGTGGGCCAAGCTCACCTTCACGCCGACGCTGCCCTGCAGTTTCAGCTGCAGTCTGATCATGTCCACGTCTTCCAGGGTGCAGAGCTGGTTCAGCTCAGAGACCTTCCTGGACATCTCATCAATGGCCACTTCAAGAGGGTTCAGTTCAGTGCTGGACTGGCTGACCACCTGGATCCTCTTCTTCACATAGGGGAACAAGTGACTCGCTGCAAACAAGCAATGGAAGAAACGCAGAAGGGGTGGGTGAGTGAAGAAGCCAGGGTCCCCTGGGATCCTGGGCCTTCTCCTGCCATGGAGCCATATCTATCCTGTGGGGCATTTGTGTTTCTGGGTTATTTTTTCCTCCTATGTACCAGGGTCTCACAAATCTAACGTTTGCCTCCACCACTTTGGCCAGCCCTGTACTTTCTGCTTAGCTGGGGGTCATGTGTCACCCGCAGGGCTAGATTGAAATAGTCAGAGCCTCACAAAATGCAGATGGCTGCAGCTGTTACACCGATATGCATTTCAGTACAGGTTTCACTAAGCACAAGAAGGAATGCTTCACTAGATCGACAGTGAGCTGTACATGTGCAAGGAGCCAGCATTTGGCTGCTATTCAAAAGTCAATGGTTCAAACTCACTATCTGTCAGTGGGAAAAAAGATGCAGCCATCTGATTCTGTCTAGAGGACTGCCTGGGAAATTCCATAGGGCAGTCCTACAACATCCTATAGGGTTCCTTTAAGCTGGAATCAACACAAGGGAAAAAAGTTTGGTTTCTTGTTTTAGTATATATTACGAGAATTTTATCCCCAAACATTTTTTCCTTATTATTCCTGGATAAGCTTCCTGCTTCTCAGTTTGGATAGCATGACTCTCCCTGGGCCCCTGGAATAATCCAACACTCAGCAGCAAATCCCTTGGCTCATCTCCTTCCCCATCAGTCTGCTTTAGCATCACCGCTCAGGTGTTCCCATGCCATCCTCATGTTGATATTCTTGCTCTACTTGGCTCTTTGTCTCTTACTCAGTTATGAATACCCAGAGGACAAGGATACTTATTTGTTTTAAGTGCCAGCATCTGGAACATTACTTTTAGGCACAAATAGGCACTCATTGAATTTTCGGTGAGCCAACAAAAAGATGACTTGCATCAGAATGGACCTCATCAGAACAGGGGGTGAGGAAGAGGCTGCTGGAAATCTCTCAGCATTGAGTCCAAGAGACGAGAAGCCATAATCACAGTGTGGTTAGTAAGCACACACTTATTAGAACTTCTAACTCTCAACGAACTGAGGGTAGATTCAGGGAAGGGAGAGAGAGAGGAGTGGAATTTTCAGAGTGCCTTTCCCAAGACACTGACGCCATGGCTCTGAGGATGGTCAGAGATAAAGGCAAGAAGTGAGTTAAATAATGACTGACGGTTACCCCTCAGGCTGAGTTCTCAGGCATCTCATTGAGTATCAAATAAAACACATTCGCCACCGAGTTGATCCCAACTCATGGTGCCCTTCCCTGTAGGCCGGAGTAGCACTGCACACCAGGGGTTGGCAAGCCTTTGTTTGCAGGCTCTCCTTGTGCTTCCTTAGGATCCACTCCTGGAGCTGTGATGGTATCGTAGGCTTAGCTATGGCTACTCACTGAAAAGTGAACCCTCGAACCTACCAGTTACTGTGCCGTCTGTCTGTCTGTACACAGTACACCTATACTCTGCCCTGCAGCTCCGGTATGAGCTGGAATTGACCGAAGGCAGTAGGTGAGTTTGGGTGGACTCAACCTCCAACTATTCAACTAGCACTTGAATGTGTCCATGGTGTGCCCTACCCAGGAACTCCTAGTAGAGCAGCCGACAGGCACACATTTGCAATCAGCACGGGCAGGGAGGCTTTGCTTTCCAGAGGAACCCGCTCTGCGGCGAGGCCGGATGCCTGCCAGGTGCCCCTGCACCTACTTGTGAGGATGGTCCTCCGCTTGCACTGCTCCTCCACTCCGCCGTGCTTCTTGCCAGACAGGGTAAAGGGTGTCTCAAAGACAAAGCGGTTGATGTTGTGATGCATTTCAAAATCTGTCTTCCGGTCCTCGATTTCCTTTTCCTCAAAGAATGGGGTGACGTAGGTTACCTGGATGTAGGCATATTTGGGATCCAAATCCTTGGGGTTGACCTGTGTGAACACATTATGGGTAAAGAAATTGCTGTGAGGTGCTCCTGAAAGATATGCAGCAAGCGCTGCATGTCCCACTCTCCCCCAGGCCGCATCCCCAGGTGAATGTCCCTCATCTCTTGGAGAAACATGGGCCACCGCATAGTTTCAGGGTTGGATGAGAGCTTAGCAAGAGCAGCAGGACGGCCTCTGGTCCAGCTGAAGGAACAAAGGTCAGACGGGGGTCGGATCTCTAGAGGTTGAGAGTCTGCTACATATGCTCCCCATGTTATGATGCTTTCCTCCTCTGCAATGACTGTCCAGTCACCTTGGTCTAGAATGCACACTACTGAATACACTAGGGTTGTCCCTTTATGGTTCAGCCGTACCCCTGCATGGGGGCACTGGCACTGGGCTTTTAATGTGGAGGAAGGCTCTTTATTTACTCCCTATGTTATCTGACTTGTCCATACCATGGTAGCAAATCTTTTCTTATTCGCAGCAAGTCATTCTAGAGGTTGATTTTCTAATGCTGTTCTGGTAGCTGCTGCTATTAGGTGCCATCAAGCCAGCTCCAATGAACAACGCCCCGATGGTGGACAATAGGAGGGGACCCGGCCTGGTTACGCACCCTGTGCATGAACGTGGCTATGTTTGAGTCTCCTATGGTGACACGGAGTCACTTCATCTTGTGGAGGGCCTTCCTCTTTTGTTTGTCGACGCTCTACCTGACCAAGCATGATGCCCTTCTCCAGGGACTGGTGCTTCCGAGCACATATCCAAAGTCTGTGAAATGGAGTTTGATCATCCTCACGTCTAAGGGATTTTCTTGCTGTGCTTCTTTCAAGACCGATTTGTTAATGATTCTGGCATACAATGGTGTCGTCAATATTCTTCAAGAATAGCAATGCCGCCGTATCAAGTCTCTTTCAGTTTTCCCTAGTCATTGTCTCGCAAAATCTTTGCTCTTCCCGACTCACGATGCAGCTTTCGCAGGCACACGAAGCAACAAAAAATGTCAAGCAGACCTCTGTTATCAAAATGAACATCTTTGCTTCATAATGGGTGTGAAATAGCAAACATGATTGACTATAGGAAAAGGCAGGGCATTTCCTTCAATATTTGAAGAGAAAATGTGTACTTCCCTTTATCATGAAGCCATGAAGACTTTTCAAACTTCTTTTATAGCTCTCTCTCTCATTTTACCCATCTATTGACTACCACGTCCCACAGACGTGAGGATGCTTAGGAATTTCATTGTTATGCTAGTAATACAGACATGTTAAGACGGATGTACTTGTAGCCATTTCACAGCTGATAAAGATGGAAACTCTGAGTTGTCAACTCATGTCTCTAAGACCACCAGTGGTCAAATGGAGACTCCAGTTCATCTGACCCTAAACTTGGCATTTTTGTCATTCCACCATGATCTCTCTCTCTCTCTCTCTTTAGGATTGCCACCACCACAGTGGTTCTAGCTCTGCCTCCTTTGAGAGAACATGTGCTTGAAAATTTCAAGCTGAGAACATTGGGTGCTTTCTCAGTAACATTTACCTACACCCCATGATGGCATGCCCACAATGGTCCCACTTCCAGCTTTGTAAGAGGAACATAAAAGCAGACCCTCCTCATGGCTTTGAAGCTGTGCATACGGTTTTCAGCGGCTTCTTCCTCTGAAGTGGGGAGCCAGGTCCTTCACTGTCTGTTCTTGGTTGGACATTGAAAAAGACTGTGGAAGAACTGATGCATTTGAATTGTGCCAGAGAAGGATACTGAAAGGACCATGGATGCTAAACGGACAACCCAATCGGTCTTGGAAGAAGGAAGGCCAGCTTGCTCCTTAGTGGAAAAGGTGGCAAGACTTGGTCTTACAGACTTTGGACCTATCGTCAGGAGAGACCCGTCTCTGGAGAAGGACATGATGCTTGGTCCAGTTGAGGGGTTGTCAAGATAAGAAGTCCCTCGATGACCTGGAGGGACACAGTGGCTGCATCAATGGGCTCAGGCATAGGAACAATTGTGGTGAAGATGACACAGGACTCTGCAGCCTTCGTCCGGCCATGCACAGGGTTGCTATGGCTCAGACCGACGTGGTGGCACCTAACAACAACTCTTTGCGGCCCATACTTGTCTTTATAATTGGGCACCAACCAGCTTTTCCATCACAATTTCCTCTCATGTTCTTTCATCCAACATGGGTGCTCACGTCTGCCACTCTCTAAGCATACCGCCCCCCTGCATTTATTTTATGTGCGCATCCTTCTCAGAAAGCCCTTGACCTCTAGCTACCACCTTCTCATCCTCGATTCTTGGCCAGACCTCACTTCCTCGATGAAGTGCTGCCTCGCCAAAGATGAGCTCTTCCAAAGACCCTCCCTTGGGCCATGCCTGCGCAAGCTGGATCAGGTCTCTATTTAATGAGCTCGTTAACGCCTTCTCTTCTTAGCCCCATGCAAACTATGAGTTCTGGAAGAAAGATTGCCTGTCATCCGGCTCCTGGTCCTGTGCCTGGCATGGAGGTTGGCTGCATAAGTACAAGGAGATAAGAAGAACCCGAGAAAACTCATCAGAGGAGAAACCATCTGTGTCCTGGAGCCATGAGGAGGAAGTAGGATGCTCACAGGTATATCATCAGTAAGTCTGCTACCATCATTGAAAACAGTTATCGGGAATGAATGGTTTTAAAGTGCAGACAGAGCTCTCTTGATTGAATAATGACTCTCTCCTTGTTATTTCCTCAATTTTACCACTGGAACTGATCTCTCCAACCAAGGCGTTGATTGCTACTCAAATAACCCAGGGGAGAAACAAAGAGTTCAGTCGTTTGTTTCAAGGACATGCCTAACATTTCTTAAATCACCACGTAAAAACAGTTTTGCTTTTGTAAAACAACATCACCAAATACGCCATCATCCCATTAAAAAAATCCCAAATTTGAAATGCCCAAACGCTCAACCAGTTCGGATAGCTACTTCACAGGCAGGCCCCAAATAATAAAAATAAAAAATTAAATAATGTAGCTTATACATTACATAAACCAATGAGATCTAAGCTCCTGCACGAGCGCTGATTTTCCTGATTGCGCTGTACCTTGTTGGAATCCTGGATGATCTTCACATTGTCTGCGCCGAATTTATCTGCATAGAGTTTGAGCAGCCTTTGGGAAATCTCCGAGAGACCTGTTAGTTTCGGCTCTTTATAAATATACTCTTTGCCTTCTTCTTCTTCAAAAAATCCCTATGGAAGACAGATAATAACCACCACTTTCATTTGAGAACTCCAGCAATATATTATAAGTCAAGCAAAATCCATTCACTCAAAAATCCATCCATAACCCCCCAAAATCTCCTGGTTGTCTTGCGGGACACTGATTAGCACGCTTAACAACCAAAGTCCAAAGACAAGAAAAGATGCTAGAATTTGTTCGACAACAGGGTAAACCTTCCCTAGTCAGGACAAAGAGCTCTGCCTATTTTGTGACAAAGAATGACAATGCCGGCTTGTCAGTCGGAGCAGCGTGCCCTCACGTGGAGACCTGTGGCTGAGCACAACGTGGTGAATCTCGGAGCGTTATTCAGAGAGCAGTCTTGTTTTTCATAAGGAAGGCTACTCATCTTGGCAACTAGCATAGGGACACTGTCTAAGCAGGTCAAGGTTCTAGAGGAACCGACCTGCATCCCACATCATGTTAGAAGAACACCATGCTCTGTGCCAGCGCTGTGGTAGGAAACACAGTGGAGCGGGCGACAACATTTTTGTGCAAAATGGAAGGACAAAGAAATGCAACTTTTCACAAATTTTGTTTAAAGCCTCCTTTTATATCACTCTTCCAAATCCTCTTTCACAGTAACTTCACACCGCTATGTTTTCAAGGCCCGGATGCAGCTTCACCTCTCAGAGGTTCTCTGCCATTTCCTTGATTCCCACTCCTAGGTTTCCAAGACTGTAACAGGTCACGGGGTGGTGTCGTAGTGTGGCTGTGTGTCTGTGTGTGAACCGTTCCCGCTCTCCTGGCAGATGCTGCTGGGATATGTCATCTCACCATTCCATTTCATACTCGTAGCAAGCTAGACCTTAAAGGATTGAAAGGCTAGCAACCACAGCCCAATTCCACAGGAACACATGCTTTTCTTCTCATTAATTTATGGGGCTGTTTTGAAACAGAATAAAGTGTCTTTCCCATTATTCAAGGTTTTCTAAAGGAGGCCATGCTTGAAGTTCCTCCTCTTTGGAGAGATGTGTGAAGAAGGCAGGTGGCCTCACCATATTAAATTGAGGGGGTTGTTAAGAACTTAAAGACACCTGGTTTCTTCGGGTGGATCTTCAAGGAAATGACTTTGGAGGACTGGGTGAAGCTAATGGAGATCAAAAAGAAATCTGTCTGCATTTTTTTGGTCATCGTATTTAGCATTTAAAGTATCTCCACTATGGGGGGGAAATATTACTCAAAGCCATATTATTCGTGGCTGAAATGAGGCAAATCGTCAAAACCGAATGATTCAAATATTCATCTGTATGATGACAGTTTAAAAAAATGATTAAAATTTATATCTGTACAGATTTACATCTGTAAATTTTAATCATTTTTTGACAGTTTGCCTTTATAGATACTTATAAAAATGCTTTCTATGCATTTCAAAGATCGATTTCACCTATGCACATATGGTCCTCACTAACCACATCTGACTGCTCCTCACTCGCCCTCTGCATCTCTGGGCTCACACACAAGAACAAGTGTGAGCATGGGCCAGGGCCAGCCAGTGTTTGGTCCTCTGCTGCATACGGTCACCACGAGCTAGAGCCGACTCCAGGCCACCTGAAAACCACCAGATACTTGGTGTGTCAGAAGCAGATTCTAGCTGGATGTTCCAAGAACCAGTGAACATCTTGAAACAGGTGCCCTCTCCATCCCTGTTGTCGGGAAGGTGCTTCTTTCTTTGTGTGTCTCTCTGATTGACTTGGGGCTTTCTGCGGGCAGGCGAGGTAGGTGTCTTGTTTCCCCTCGCTTGCCACATGGTTAGCACAGTGCCTGATTTAATAAGCAGATGAATGAAATCATTCTTGGTGGGGACATTTTTTCAGAAGCTACTCTGTAGCAGATGTAACTGCAAAGGATTCCAATGCCTTTAATGGAGTTGCTTTCCTTAAAAATGGAAGTAAACACTTTCTTAGAGAACTAGCTAAGAACAGGCACACCTGATTATGAGCACCCTGACCCCACACTCCTAATAAGTGGCACGGGATCCTGAAAACAGTGTCCAACGCTGGTCCACACTGTAAGGGTGGTTGGCCCGACCCCATGTCCACTTGGCTTCCTGTTATTCTGCAATTTCAGTAGCTATTTTGACTGACTCAAGATCAGCAGTTAGTGACTAAAACCAACTTACTGGCGTATCAGGGAAATAACCTGAGCTCAGAGTGCTAAAGGAATAAAAATCTTTAGTTTCTCTCATATGAAACTACAATTTTCCTGATTATAAAAAGGTTCTACTGATGCTCATTTAAAAATTTTGGTTGACGCTCTCATGATAAAGAAACAGTGATTAGAACTTTCTCTTTTAATTTTTTTCAGGAACAGACATGTTCATCGAGAGCATTTCATACTATAAGAAGAAGGAACTGATAGCGCATAATGGAGAATTTAATCTGCTCTGTTGAGATCTGTGTAGAGTTCTTTGGGAGCCAGACTACATATCCAACTGCACTTCCCATCATGTGTACGGCAGTGCTTCCAATCTGTCTTGGGAAATGATCAAAGTCAAGGCAATTAAACTACAGGACAGGATCTTAAGGCAGGCTTCCGTTTCTGCTTTGTCATTGGACAAAATGATTGATAAACAGGGACATGAGATGATGGGATCCAGAGGCAGGTTTTCTTTTACTTCTACCCTAATGTTATGCATACACTGCATTTCAAGATTGTGGGAAAGGTGACCTATCCAGTTCCTGGCTAGTTTGAATCTTTAATCCCATTTCCCAGTGCAATCACTACCCTCTTTTGGTGGGTCAGTGGGATGAGCACTGGGTTGCGAACCCAAGGGTTAGTGGTTTGAATGCATGAGCCACTCTGCAGGAGAAAGATAAAATGCTTTACTGCCTTGGAAACCTTAAGGAGCAGTTCTGTTCTGTTCTGTGGGGTCGCTGGGAGTTAGAACAGACTAGACGACTCTGGGCTTCCTGGGCTGTGTTCAAGAAGCAGCACATCCACTATGGTTGGATAGAGTGAGTCAAAATAAATGGACTATGACATTTCAAGGCAATAAACTAGGGTAAAAATGTACTTCGATACACAGGCAATCCAAATCACTGACTCGCCTACTAAGATGTTCTAGCAGGTATTTCAGAATCTTGTAATGCCCCATGGTAACAGAGAGGAGTCAAATGTAAATGGGCCTGCGTTTATATTTGACCTCAAATCCATAAGCCCATAAATCCCTTCAAATAGGATTCCAATGTGAAAAAAAGAAAGAAATGGCAGATATTGTTAACAACAGGCTAGATGCTAAGACAAGAGAAGCCATAAAGGTGTGTAGAAATTTGATGAGTATAAATGTAAGCTCAATTACAATGCTTCAAAATATGTATATTTAAATCTACTCAGTGGCGTTAAGAGAGGAGGACCACTAGAAGTGTCCACTGCATTTCAGAATGGTGATGGTCATTTTCAAATCGAAGCACACATCTGTCCTTCTCTTCCACCCCAGCTCCTCCCTGCCATCGCTTCTCTAACAAGATAATGAGATGCGTTTACTCGCCAGCAGGCACGACAGGGAAACATGGATCTGTCCTTTGATGAATAGGATCATATTCTCCCATGCCTTTCAGTGAATTAATCCTAGGGGATCCACACTTTGGAAGCCTGCATGCTAAATCCCACTGCCTACAGATTTCATTGATGACAGTTCATGTTTGATTGGGACTGTCGGATAATTACTCTGGAAACGAGTATTCAGGGGCACTTTGGAGGATGCTTTAGATAATCAGCTGTGTGTGAACTCTTCCAAGCCAAGGACGCCAGCTGCTGTGTTAGAGATCCCACGCCCTCCAGGGCTGGCAGTTTTAAGATTCTTGCGATGGAAACAGTCTTTACCAGTATCTGCTCATCTCAGACACAATTAGTGGTAAATCCTTTCATCAACTCTGTGTAAAAAAATAAAAACCACAGGACTCATGGAATGCTAAACTATTTGTCCAAAGGCCTCTGTGGAGGAAGAGCCCGGTGTAGTTTATATTCCCATCAGCTTTGTAGTGTGATGGCAAGGCATTCATTTAGATGTTTCCCTCTCTGCCGTTGAGTCAATACTGACTCATAGTGACCCCCCGCGGGTTTATGAGACTGTAACTGTTTATGGAGCTAGAAAGCCAAGTCTTTCTCCTGCACAGCTGCAAGTGGTTTCGAACTGCTGACCACGTTGATCGTAGTCACAGTGCACTGTCCGTGGACCTAAACAACTACCGGGAAAATCCCCATGCCTGGGGATTATGCTAGCCAAGTAGCCAAGATCTGACCTGAGTCCACCAGACCCTTTATTCTGTAGGGGTCCTGAGCGTGGCTAAGCTCTCACAGTATTGATTTATCATCAGGTGTGAAGCGACATGTGCTGCCTGCTCCTACAGAATACTCCATTTGCCCTCTTGGAAAAGGTATTTAGATAGTACTTGGACAATGATGACTGAAGCTCTGATTTGCTGGTTATCAGGAGGACCTGCATTACTTCCACTGTTTAGAAGCAGGTGGGGTTCTAACTTACAGAGCGCTGTGCCTGTTTGGCCTGTTCTCTGGGCTGCAGATTTATCAAAAGACTTTGCCGTGAAAGCTTTTCTTCCTCTTTTAAAAAATTAAATTACTATTGAAATACCAGCAGCATCAAAAACAAAAACGACAGCAAAAACTAAAACAAAAGCCAACACGGACAAAACTCCCATTAAAGTAGACAATCAGCATAGTGTACTGAGGCATCTGGCAAAAGAACAAGAGCCATTTGAAAGTAGCTCTCTCTGACGTTGTCCCACTGCCGCCCTCCATCACTTTAGTACAGGGATTTTTTAAAGTCTTCTTTTAGTAGGTAAGTGAAGGACCGACGAACCCAGATTTATAAATGATGGTAAAACAGAAGAAGGGAATGGTATGGAAGCAGAAAGGGTTTAAGAAGAATTACTATCTATATATAGGATAGAAAAGGAGAGCTGAATCCAGGCAGGCAATGTGCAAATCTTGAAAGAGCTTTTTAGCCTCATGAAGGACAGCTATGTGGAACCATATGAATGTGCCACTTTTGTAGGTTAAAAAGAAAAACACAAAACAGGATGGTTATAGGCAAATTTATATGGTTCAAAGTGATGCAAAGAAACGTCTTAGTGTCAAAGCCCTATATCCTGGTAGCATCTTGCTGCCTTGGTTTGTTCTCTGAAATCATTCCTTCATTTCCAGCCATCTTTCTTGAGACTTCACCTGGTCCACTGGGTAAGGATTTCCTCCATGGCTTATCTTTTGTGTTGGGTCTTGCCCTTTGACTATTTCCATGGCCTTTGCGAACACTCAGTGCTCACTACCTCTGAGAACCCTCCCGCTCCAAGGACCACCTGTGGCCAAGGGTGGAGGTCTCTCAGATGTCTAGGAAAGGTGTTTCTCCACCGCCACTGCTGTAATGGCTGACATTATGACCATCATGGTCTTCATAAGCTACAGATAGAGATGCTGAAAACGAGCAGCCAATGGCCAATCCCGGGCCTGCAATGTCGGTAGTTCAAATACGGCACAGCCGCCATTGACCTCTGCTGTGCGCCAGCTCTCAGGCTACCTTTGTGTAGGAAGGGAATAGATATGAGAAGAAAAAGATATGTTTGTGTCATTCCAACAAATGGAAGACACCTGGTTTAGCTCAAGAAATGCAGACTGGTGTCCACATGAACGGCAGCAGGATTCTCGACTGGAACCAAGTGTTGATTTGCACACAGCAATGTTATGGTATGGAGGGATGGGTGAGGGTGATTAGACACATGCAGGTGAGAAGCGAGAGGAGGAGAGCATGCACTTACCACAGCCTGGAACCATCAAGACCAAAGGAAGGAAAAAGTAAACATCTCATTAAAAACTAGTCTGAAAGCAGCAGGATTCATTCCCGTCAGCCCTACCTGTGCTATAAGGCCCAGGGATCTCTCTGCCCATTTGTTTTCCCGTCGAGTACATTCCTGGGGCAGACATGCAGACACACACCGAGAAGCGCTGACGTATTCAGATGCAGCAAAACACCCCTGGCACACTCTGGTCCGTTGGCACACAATGGACAACCAACTGCTCAAAAGCATTGAGAGACCCCATTGCCTCGACTGCGCTTACCTGCCCGTAAAATGCCACACGATAATAGCGACCAAACAGTCGCTTCTCTGAGTTCACCACCTCGGCAACTTTTAGGTATGACCGATGAATGTCATAGTAGAGGTCTGATAATTTCTGAAACCAAAATCGAAAGCGTTTGTATAGGTGAGTCTGACATTAAGACAGGGCAACACGAAAAACGGTTTTTAAATGCGGTTTAGAAAATCGCACAACTAATCCACGAATTCAGGGTTAGGATAGCTTGACTCTCTTCTCCGTGTGTGCAGGTGCAGGAACCATACCTTGAAGTCTCTCTGCTTCTCAAAGACGGCGATGATGGGTTTGTTGACATCAGCGATGAGTTCATATCGCTCAGACTTCCAGAGGAACTCCACACACATGTACAGCTGTTCCACCAGGATCTTCTGCAGTTCGAAATCAAAGGGAGATTTGACAGGGTGAATCCTGCGGCTCACACTGTCACAGAGTCTCCTAGTGGGATTTCTGTATTCCCTCTCTATCTCCATATCCATAGGGAGACCCAGAGTGGTATAAACAGTTTAACACTTGAGTAGTAACTGAAGGGTTGCTGGTTTGAATCCAACCAGATGTGCCTTAGAAGAAAAGCCTATTGTTGCCCTAAGTCAAAATCCAATTGACAGTTTTTATTTGTCTGTTTTTGAGAAGGGGCAGGATTTCTATTTGGTTATTGGCATCTACCCAGCAGAGGGTCTTGGATTCTCCTCTTTCCCCTCAGTATTGTCATTTAATCAGGCTCCCGAACTTGCTGGGAGCCTTGTTGGTATAGTGGTTAAGTAGTTGATGGCTAACTGCAAGGTTAGTGGTTCAAACCCACCATCCCTTCCACAGCCTCTCTAAAGATTACAGCCTTGGAAAACATATGAGGAAGTTCTTCTCTGTCCTACAGGGTCACTAGAGTTGGGATCAAATTCAGAATAGGTTCCAAACTTGCTACTTTAAATCTCTCAAGGGTTTACAGATCTGTTTAGTCCTTTCCATTACCGCTGTCACTGGCCTAAACCAGGCCTTAGTTCCTTTACTTTGCAAGACAGGCATCCCTGTCTCCCTAGCGTAGTGTGCTCCTTTGTTTTCCCTCTCTAATTGGCTTTAGGTGGTGCCGTTTGGTTAATCTGTCTTTGAAAACCATACGACTGAGAATGAGCTCTCCACCCACCTAAAACTTTGGGGAAACTCCAATGTCAATGACCTATTGTCCACAACCTCAACATGCCATTCAAGGACCTCTACAATCGCTACAATCCATCTATGATGGATTCTCAATCAATGCTCATGGGTGTAGCAGTCAAGAAATAAAGAACACATTGCACTGGAAAAATATGCTGGAGGGCACCTCCGTAAAGTGTTGCAGGGCTGAGGTGTCATTTTGAGCACCAAGGTGTGATATGTTTAATTGCCTCATGTTCCTGTGACAATGTGTAAGGAAGCTTGCAGGTGAACTGATGCATCTGAATTATGGTGCTGGTGAAAAATACTGAACATCACATGGACGGCCAAAACAACAACAGCAATAAGAACTACGTCCTGGAAGAAGTACAGCTAGACTGCTCCTTAAAAGAGAGACTTCATCTCACATGCTTTGGACATGTGATTAGGAGAAACTGCTCCCTGGGAGGGACATTCTGGAAAGGCTAGCATGGCTGCAACAATGGGCGGAACCACATCACCAGGTGAGGGCACTGCGCAGGGCCGGGCAGGACCGGGCACTATTTCGTAGTGTACAAATGTTGCCTGATGAAGTCACACTGCCGACTATCTTTTTATGACCTCCGGGTCAGTTTTAGATCTTTGTTCCATTTCCCCCCTTTAGCTTAATGTCACAATATAACGCAAAAGTAGTGCTTGCTAGTTAAACGTGAGTCTAACCTCATTGTATGGTGTATCCTGCATTCCAGAATCTTCTTTCATCGCACCCTCTTCTTTTATATTTGGGGTAATGCTTAGAAAAGCTGGCCAGCCCATGGAGAACATACCTGGCAGAATCAAACACATGATGTAATTATGACCGGACCTAACTTTTTCTTGGGTAGATAAGCCCTTTCCTCAGGATGTTACAAGAGGTAGTGTTATAAAACTCACATGAACAATGAGATGGTGAGACTGAGACTGAAGATATGCTTTAAAATGTAACCGATCTTTCCCTTTTGATAATTTTTGAATCATTTTAAGTGGCACATTTCCTATGAGGATGTGGATGGGAGTATTAACGAAGCATGAGATTAGCAGCTGGACTTCCTGCCAACATACTACATGAATTTCCCGGGGCCTGTTTTCCTCCTTTGTTGAACTGGAGTCAATCTCTCACCTCCAAGGACAATTGAGAAGGTTCAAAGCAATAATCCAAGGGAGGCTCAAGCAGTTTATGGAAATGGAATTAAAAGATACATTAAAAATGGCATTTTCCTACAAACACTTTAAAGCCCCTTCATATTTTAGAAAACAGCTAGTACAATCAGTGTACTTTATAGAAAGTACTCTACAGTCATGAATTTTTACTCTTTAGCCTAATTTAGGCAACATCTCAAATTTTCTCTGCATCTTGGCCATCTATGACCTGGTTCCACAGAAACAGGAAAGCACTTATGAAGACAAGTAAAATAATGGGTAATGGACCCTTGAGACGAGATCACATTTGAATAACTTGGAGAGTGAGTACTTTGGATCAGAGATAGGGCCCTTCAGACCTGGTTCCAGAATGGTTTAATCTCTATTGGTTTGTTTACTTCCCTGGGTGTCTGTCTTCCTCCCCACTGTAGAAAGGAGGTAAATGAGCACACCGGACTCATGGAATTGCCACTGACCTCTAATGGCAGTATTGCTGATACTTAGTGTAGTACTTGCCATATAGCAAGCCTTTAAAAAATAACTGGTGTGACTTTTGTGGGATATTTCCATCTTAAATCATCAGCTTATGTAGGAGTTCAGGGGGCGGGGGGCTGTGGGTTAGACACTGGACGACTAACCTCTAGGTTTTCAGTTTAAAACAAGTAGCGTCTTCAGGAGAAAGACGAGACTGTCTGCTCCAATACAACTTCGTCTTTGCAACTGTGGACAGGGCCTCTATGAGTGAGAATAGGGCCCTGGCAGGACAGTAGGTTAATTGTTGGACTGCTAACCACAGTGTGAGTGGTTTGAACCCACCTGCTGTTCCACAGGGGAAAGATGAAGTTTTTGACTCCTAGAAGTTACAGTATCGGTGAACTTTATGTCTGTGTAACTAAGTAGAAAGTTTGGAAGTGATTAAGAGATCTTGATTTTCGTGTGGACAAGAGCCATACTCCCAGGTCTTCACACACAAGCGACCTCATTGTCTCATGATTTGTTTCAGGTCATTTGATTCAACTGTCTCATTTGAAAAATACACAGTTGTTTAAAAGATTCGTTTAATTAGGTTTTCAAAATATTATCATTCAATCCATTTAGATCTTGTTTAGTTTTGTTATTTTTTAGCATCTAAGGGTTAATTTATGTGCTACAATAAGTTTTCCATTGCATCTTAAAAGTTAAAATAGTGGTATCAAATACTCTGTAGTTCATCAAAACTTTGGATTGGAATATATTTTTGTAAGAGAATGGAGATCAAATATACTAACCATACTGCCATGTTTTTAAACAAAGGAAAACTACAGTTATTAAGTTTATGTTCATGATTGACAAAAAAAGTAACATGTTGTTTATATGACGGGGCTTCAAAAGGTTTGTCAAAAATGGAATGAAAACAAAAGGAATTTGTCCCCAAACTTAAAAAAAAACAACCTTATATGATCCTACACAGGCCCTATGTCTAGGATTTCATTTTTGTATCCCTCAGGTTCAGTGAGTGGTTTTATTACATTTGATGGTTAAAATGGGTTCCTCCTATGATCGAAAGATCTTACCAATTTCAGATTAAAATCCCCAGGGGAAAGTGGCATGAAGATAGGCAGTGATACTTCCTCCAAGAGCCTGGAATTTACTAATTTTGGGTGGCATTTCTGAGTGGTAGGTAGGAGCGTAACGCTTTTACACAGTAAATCATGGTTTGCCATCAGTTTTGTTTGTATGAAGACACTTAAAAAGGTTCCCTGGTGCGGGGCCCTGGAGCTCCTCTTCTCGGTGCCAGCCATGAGTCCTCAGTGGCTTTGGTCCTGAAAGGCCAGGCTTGAGTGGGTTTCCCTTTACACTCATTAGTGCAACTTGCTGGTGTGTAAAACCAAGCAAAAATGGACAAATAACTGATTCATTAATTAATAGATTGCCCCATATTCAACTTGTTATAAATTACCATGTTTTAAAAAAAATATTCATGGCATACCGTATATACTCAAGTATAAGCCGATCCGAATATCAGCGGAGGCACCTAATTTTACCACAAAAACTGCACAAAAGATGTGCTGAAAAACTCGGCTTATACACGAGTATATATACTTTTTTCTGAAGAAAAGAAATGAGAAAAAGTTAAGCAGCAACGTGATTTCTTCTGAGGGCGAATGAGCATGGTTAGACCACTCACTTCCTCCATCAGGAGTTGTTAGTAATGGGTTGCTATCACAGGGGTGGGCATCCTCCAGAAGCAGGGGTGGTGTGCAAATCTTTTCCATTGTCCAGTAACCTAAGGTAGTGCAAGATGAAGTTAGAACACAGCTACACGTGGGTGTTAAAAGAAGCTTATTAAACTGTAAGTCATTAACCACCACGGGTTAAATTTGAACTACAATGAGGATCATCCAGCTGGTCTTTCTGGTCATCAAATATACAGATGATCATGGCATCATGGAGTTAAGCTTTAAAATGACAGCATCATTAGAAACAGCTAGCAAAGTCAATATGGCTTCATCGGACATTCACGGAGATGAGTACGACCCCAAATTAGTCAATGACGTTTCACAACGTTCATTTCTAGACTTTTCCTCCCCAGGTGGTCAGCTTACCTTTTCGTTTCAGGTATTCTGCAATGAGGGCAGCTATGTGGATGTAACACATGGCGGCCTGAAATGCGACAGAAAACAAAAACATTAAGGAGAAGGCATATGATACGTTCTAGTATTTATTGAAATATAAGTAATCTT